TAATGCAAACCCAATGAAATAGTTCCTTTCAAGTATCTAAATACTCTATCTAAGGCCTCCCAATGAGTTCTATTTGGACAGCAAGTGTACCGACTAAGTTTAGACACTGAAAATGCAATATCAGGTCTAGTGCAGTTAGCTAAGTAACCCAAGCTACCAATCATCTGAGAATATTTTAATTGAGACACAGGAACACCACTTTCATTTTTATACAAAGCTACAGAAGGATCATAGGGCGTTTTAGCAATTCTACTATTTTTAAATCCAAACTTCTCAATTAATTTTTCAATATAATGAGACTGAGAAACATAAATGCCCTCGGTTGATCTAGTCAACTTTAGCCCAAGAATTACTTCAGCCACCCCCATATCCTTCATTTCAAACTTAGATTTCAAAAATGACTTAGTCTCAAAAATAATATTATCATTACTTCCAAATAATAATATATCATCAACATATAGACATAAAATAATACTTATATCACCTTTACATTTATAATAAACACTTTGATCAGCATCTATAAGAGTAAATCCAAACGAAGAAATTACTTTATCAAATTTTTCGTTCCATTGCTTAGGGGCTTGCTTAAGTCCATATAAAGACTTAACTAATTTACAAACTTTTCTCTCATTGCCTTTTGCCACAAATCCCTCAGGCTGATCCATATAAATTTCTTCTTCAAGGTCACCGTGAAGAAAAGCTGTCTTAACATCCATTTGATGAATTTTAAGACCATATACGGAGGCCAATGCTATAAGCATTCTTATTGTGGTCATTCTTGCAACCGGAGCATATGTATCGAAAAAATCAATACCTTCTTTTTGTTTATAACCCTTAGCAACTAATCTGGCCTTATATTTATCAATGGTTCCATCTGGTTTTAACTTCTTCTTAAAAATCCATTTACATCCAATGGTCGTGCACCCGGGAGGAAGATCAACGAGCTCCCATGTTCCATTTTGAACAATGGAGTCCATTTCACTTTTAATCGCATCCTTCCAATACATGGCCTCAGACGTGGCCATTGCATCTCTAAAGGAAATTGGATCACCCTCAATGTTGTAAGTGATAAAATCACTTCCAAAATCCTTAGTGATCCTAGCTCGTTTGCTCCTCCTAGGCTCATCTATATCATTTGATTCAAAATCAATATGACTAGAACTACCAGATTCTACCCCCACATTTGTCATCTTTTCCACTTGATCAGGAATTGAATTAAATGTGGTTTCTTGATTTTTAAAAGAAGTATTTTGGGGCACACCCGTTTTCATTGGAAAAACATCTTCAAAGAAAGTAGCATCACGAAATTCTACAATAGTATTGACATCTATGCCAGAAATTTCAGATTTAATAACCAAAAATCTCATTGCATAAGAATGTTCAACACAACCAATAAAAATAGTATCAACAGTTTTAGGCCCAAGTTTCTTTCTTTTATGTTCAGGGACTAACACTTTTGCAAGACAGCCCCACACCTTAAAATATTTCAAACTCGGTTTTCTGCCTGTCAAGAGTTCAAATGGACACTTATCTTTATGCTTCATGGGAATCCTATTCAAAATATGGCATGCCGTATTCAAGGCTTCCCCCCACATAAATTTAGGTAATCCAGAATTCTCTAATAAACTATTAATCATATCTTTAAAAGTTCTATTTTTCCGTTCAGCTACTCCATTTGATTGTGGTGAATAAGGAGGTGTTTCCTCATGTACTATACCATATTTTTGGCATTCCAGTACAACTAAATTAGAAGTATACTCTCCTCCCCTATCAGACCTTAACCTTTTAATTTTCTTGCCAGTTTGATTCTCTATTTCATTCTTAAAAATTAAGAATTTTTCAAGAGCTTCATCTTTACCCTTAAGTAGATACACATAACAGTATTTAGAATAATCGTCAATAAAAGTGATAAAGTATTTTTTCTTATCACGTGTAAGCACTCCATTAAACTCACAAATGTCGGTATGAACTAAATCAAGTAATTCTGAATTTCTATCAATTGAATGATATGGTTTTCTTACTTGTTTAGTAGTAGCACATACCATACATTTCTTAGTTTTATCAATAGAGTGCTTAGGAATTAAATTTAAATTCATCATTCTTTTCACAGAATCTAAATTAACGTGACCCAAACGATAATGCCATAAAGTTGAAGAATCACAATTCTCAGATACATAATTTAATTCTAAATAATCAACCATAACTTTAAAAAGTCCATCAGACAAGTAACCCTTGCCAATAAAAGTTCCACCAAATAAAATTACAACTTTATTTAATTTAAAAGACAGTTCATAACCCTCCCTAACTAGAATGGAACCACTAACGATGTTCCTTCTAATTTCGGGAACGTGATGCACTCCATGCAAAAATAGAATTTTTCCCAAAGGGAATTTGATTTCTACTTTTCCAATTCCTTGCACACTTGCAGCACTTGTGTTCCCCATCATCACTGTTCTTCCAACCGCAGGCTGATAAGAAACAAAGAGCGATTTGTCAGCACATACATGCACATTCGCTCCTGTATCTATTAGCCACTCATTGGAATTATAAATAGTGAAAATTTGAGGATTAATAGAAACGTACCCATTAGAACTATTCCCTCCAGTCACCATGTTGACTTGAGGTCCCCCAGATTGAGCCTTGGCCTTTTTATTTGGACATAATTTTGCCCAATTCCCCATCTGTCCACAGTTCCAGCATGGTCGGTTTGCCTTTGGTTTCTTTGCAATTTTTAATTTGGCCTTTATGGGTTTAAAAGATGGTGATTGTTTATTTTTAGAATTATGTGTTTGCTTTCCCCCAGTTATAACATGAGCCTTCGGTTGAAATTCAACAGGCGCAATATAACCCGCTTTCTTATGTTCCTCCTCAACAGTGATGGAATGCATTAAAGATTTCCAAGTGATCTTTTTCATTTTATGTTTTAAAGTCATACCAAAATCTTCCCATGATTTGGGAAATTTTTCTATGACCGCCATCACTTTAAATTTTTCAGGCAATTCCATGTCTACTTCACGAAGAGAATGTAAGATAAGCTCAAATTCTTGTGTCTGTTCTAAAACCGATTTTCCTTCTTTCATGTCAAATCGCAGGAATTTAGAAACAATATATTTTTCAAGACCGTGATCATCCGTATTATATTTTCTATCCAACTCATCCCAAAGGTCTTTGGCCGTCCCATGGAGGGTGCAATAGACATCAAATAACATGTCGGATAAACCCATGAGAATCATGCCTTTTGCAATTTCATCCCTTTCAAGCCAAATTCCATGACGTTCAAGACTTTTGGGATCAGATTCGACAACCGGAGGACACACCGTCATAATCACTGAAAGCAAGCCCTTGGTGCTTAACCAAATTTTCATGCGTTGTTGCCAACGCTTGAAAAAATGCCCAGAAAATTTTTCCGGCATCCCAGTTAAATCAACCCTGTGCGAGCCCGTAGCAATATATTCAGGTGTGCCTTGTGAATTAGTGACAGACACAGAATTATCATTTTCAGGGATTTCATTCACATTATTCTCAACAACAACATTTTCGGAAACTGCATTTTCCAAGTTTGCCATTTTTGGATTTTCCAAAACTCGAGAAATAATATCTTTCTTCAAGATTGTTAGAAAATGATATTAAAAATGCGAGTTTAACCAGATAAAAATCCCGAGTTTAAACAAATCACCAGACAAACCACCAAATGCAAGAACAGAAAATAACAACAATAATAGTAATAGTTAGAATAAATAAAAATGAATAAATAGAAAAGATAAGAAAACTTATCGCAGGATCGCCCGTTAAAACGGACTGGCCTTGAAGAAAGATAGCCCCCGTATCCCGATAGCTATTCGGACGGGTCTGGCTAGCTCGCTCCCAGGATAATCCTACTCCGTTTCAGACTTGTAGCTACCTTGACTGAAACCTTCGACCGTTGCCCGAAATGCCTTGGAAGAGATGAGCTTGACAAAATGGAGTAAAAACTATCCGAATAGAACTTCGGGTTTTGACAAGAAACAGTAAACACTTCAAGAAACAAACGAGAAGAGAAAAGAAAGGAGTTAATCAGTGCTCCTCTTCTTTTACAAATTCGTTTTTGGAAGAAAAAGAAATCGAGAAGTGAGTGCTTTCTTTCCCTTGTGCTTTGCACGTCTATCTTCTATGGGAGATTGAGTAGCATAATATATACTTCGTATTATGCATGGAAATCAAATTCACAACATATTTATTTGAATGGAAGTAAGTAACGGTTATTCCTTAATATCATTTTAATGATCCTTGAATAATCATTAACCAGGCTTATTAGCTATCCACTTAGACCATTCAAATTCAAGTATTTGAAACGTTCCAAATTAGTTTAATAGCCACCGTTTCATTATCTATTAAGATAATAAAGCATTTCAAAATTGTTGTCCATAAATTAAATGGCCTTTAGCTTGAGACATTTTCTCATACACTTTTAGATCATCCCGAGCGGGCCTGAGCGTACGGAATAATATTTCAAGCTATCTTATGTGATACTTGAATGATTTTCCTTATCACATAATTTGTTATTAATAGACCATCTATCTATTTACATAAGACAGCAATTCACTATTTCAAAATTTCACTTTACAACTTTTACAACTATGGATTCCAATCAATGAATGAAATAAATCCAAGTATAAAAGTCGTACTTTGATAATAAGTCACTCCCATTACATAAAAATATGTTACACATATATCTCAGGGCCCAAAAATGAGACCACTAACAATTAATATTTTTATTATTATTATCATATTTCCAACAGTTCTTATGCACGTTACGTCTAACACAATTTCCAAACATTTCACACACGTACATTGTTTACAAATAATATCATATCACTTTTACATTCTTATATCCCGTGAATCGCGCAGGTGAGAATCTAGTATACAAATAAAAAACGTAACATTGTTGGTACCCATAGCTATATGACTTTCAGTAAATCCAATAATAAAATGGTTTCCAAAAATTTATCAAACAAGAACAGCCCAAATCCAATGTAAACGTATAGCACTCTACTTTGGGACATATAGCACTACTATAGCAGGACAGTAAGAAACTGTAAAAGGAGGAAGGGGTGAGTGGAGACGAAGGAAGAAGGAAGGAAAAGGAGAAGGAAGAAGAAGACCCAGGCACCCAGCGAATTCCGCGGCGAGGCGGCGACGAACATCTGTCCAGCAGTGAGAAGCGGCCCGGCAAATCGGTGACGAGAAGCAGTCCGGCGCCGACTCAGTTGACATCACGTCGCATCTCAGAGATGCGCTCCCTCTTCGCTGGCTGAGTGAAAAGCTGCGCAAGTTGTATTTGACGGGGAAGAGTAATTTTGACCCAGGGTATTCTCGTCCCACCGATTCAAAATGAGGCCTATTTAGGAGTTAAAAACTTCGAACTCCTGTTTAAGTTCCCTGCTATTCTTTTAGTCTTATTCCCGAGAAAAAAGACATCGAAAATCCTAAACAAAACAAAGAGTTTCAATCTTCAATTCAATTTCATCACGAACTTGCTGTAATCAATCTAGATCTCATTAAAAAGTTCAGCAATGGGCAGCAACCGGACCCATTCTGGATTCAGGCTTTGGGCGGTGATCTTTGTGGTTCTCTTATCTGTATATTCAGTTTCTGCAGCGAACAGAAGACCCAAAAATGTGCAGGTGGCTCTAAGAGCGAAATGGCCTGGCACCTCTTTACTTTTGGAAGCTGGGTACGTTTCTTTTCAACACTTCAAATTTTCTTCATTCTACTTTGGCTGCAAAATATAGGTTTATCCGTACATCGGTGAAGCATTGTTCTTTTAATGTTATGGTCTTTTAATGCTAAAATGAAGTTATTTCGAGCTATTGCTACTTGCATTCCATGCCATATAAAAGATAAAAAGGTTTCATTAGTTCAATTATAGGTTGTAATTTGTTAAGGTAAAGCTTGCTGAAAAGTTTAATGAAATTAGAGTAGCCTTTTGTGTGGTAAAGTATGTGAAACAGTTGAATTAAAGAAACAATAAGTTAGGCTACTTAAAAATGGTTAGAAACTACAAATTCCAACTTCTCAAAAACATCTGAAATTTGAAGAATAGTTTTTCTCATCCACTTAAATCACTGTTTTTTTTTTATTTTATAAAAACAAAGTTTGTCACCCCAAACATGCTATAGTAATATAAGCCATATATTGTTTCTTGGTGTTATAGCATAGGGTGCAATTCTTTAAAGTATAATTAGCAACAGAATACCTTTACTGGTCTTTGGCTGCGGCTCCTGGATACTTATATGGAGTCTGGAAACGGTGGGAAAATATCCCAAAGTCCGTGTTACTTGACTTACATATTTGCAATACCCTTTTTCAAAAAAATCTCTTATAGTGTCATCCCTGTGCTTGACAGGGAATTGCTATCTAAGGAATGGAAAGGTCTTTACTGGGACTTCATTGACACGTGGCTTGGTTCTGCTGAAGGGGATTCTGATTGTAAATCTGCCCAAGATTGTGTGAAGAAGATGGTAGAATATGGAAAATCATTTTTGAGTGAATCCCTTGCATTGGTATTTGAATTTTCTCTTACACTTCGATCAGCATCCCCGAGGATAGTGCTATATAGACAGTTAGCAGAAGAATCCCTTTCTTCGTTTCCTCTGGTTGATGATATTAAGGTGAAAAAATGCTGTTGGGTTGATGCTGGTGGATCTCTATTTTTTGATGTTCCAGAGTTACTGTTGTGGATTAATAGCCCAAAAGCAGTGTATGTGAAGCTTCTCTCCTGCTCCCTTTACATTCACATTGATACACACACTCAGCTTTTAGGGCTTGTTTGGTTGGGTCTTTTGGATGTGAGTGGATTTGATTTTTGTTTCACTTAATTATCACTATCTGTTAGTCATAGACTAGATATTAACGATATGTTTAATTAAGTAATGTATTTTTCCATAGGTTTTCATCTTTGCTTTCCTTCTAACCATCTAATTGCAAGAGTAAATTAATAAGAAATAATGAAAGGCATATTACTTAAACAAGTCATATTACTAAAGTCATGGACAAAAATGTAATCTCCATAATGCGAGTGACTTTATGTTATTGGTGCAGCGACCGTGATGGTGATGTCTGGTGCTGACATTGACAAATTAGTTATACTTTTATTCTTAAGAGCCATTGTAGTAATATTTTGGGAAACACCCCAAATAATAAAATAAAGAGGTAAGGGTCAAATTGGTACTCGAAGTTGCATAAAAAGGGTCAAATAAGTCCTTACTGTCCGGCCGTCGCCATTTGGGACGGTTCCCGGTAGAATTTTTTAATGATTTTTTTTGAGCATCTTATTCATTAAGTCTAGTTTACTCATCCCAAATTCCAGCTAAAAATTCAATCGGGAAGGCATTCAAATGAATTCTTGAAGATAACTGCGCTTTTAACTGCGCCGTTATCTTCAAGAATTCATTTGAATGCCTTCCCGGTTGAATTTTTAGCTTAAATTCGATATGAGTAAACTAGACTTAATGAATAAGACGTTCAAACAAATTTGTCAAAAAATCCCAGCGGGAACCGCCTCCATTGGCGATGGATGGATAGAGCCTCCTATATAAGGACTTATTTGACCCTTTTTTTGCAACTTCGAGTACCAATCTGACCCTTACCTCATAAAATAAATATAACCCCTATGCTCCAAAACCTCTCAACCAAACCAGGGCTTAAAATTACGTCAGATATTGATCCAGTGCTAATAGTTCATTTTTTAATTCTTCTTTGGTCGCAGAACTGACAAAACATTTCAGCAGCCTCAGATATTTGACTTTGATCATGTCCACCCTGATTCAAGTATAGGGAGTCCAATCACTGTATTGTATGGATCCATTGGGACTGAATGCTTTAAAGAGTTTCATCATATATTGGTCAATGCTGCCAAAGAGGTACATTATCAATGTCTCTCTAAGATTTATTTCTTAAGTTATATAGTTTTTCCCTGTTTGTACTTCTCTCTGTAAGTCTCTAGTAATAGATAAGTTGAGTGAGGGGGAAATTATAGAATAGGCAGTAGTAATCTGTTCATGGAAGTACAGTACTAAGAACACTATTTCTCTTTTAGAACAAGGCGTGATTACACTTGAATATGCCATTTAACTCTTTACAGGATTTTCAATCTGTAGACTTAGATAAATAATTTTATTTCTTTCTGAAAAAAAAAAGATGTCATATTGATCTACTGATAAATCCTCTCACTTTATCAGGGAAAAGTTTGCTATGCTCTTAGACCTGTATTGCCCTCAGGCTGTGAATCAATGAGTGGCCCTTGTGGGTCTGTTGGCACAAGAGACTCTGTAAACTTGGGTGGCTATGGTGTTGAACTTGCTTTGAAAAACATGGAATATAAGGCTATGGATGACAGCACTGTCAAAAAAGGTATTTACTTTTTTGACGCGATTTTCACTATGGGTCATTCGGAAAAGCTTTATTACAAGGGTAAGACTACGTATATCTTGACCTCCCCTTACCCCACCGTAGGTGGGAGCCTTTGCGGCATTGGGGTAATGATGATGGAAATAATTCACTTACTTGACAGAATAGTATATTAAAAAAAGTTGAACTATCCACCACCCATAGTTACGACTTTTAACTAATTTGTATATGCAAGGACCAATGCATCATCTTTTGGCCTCTCTAGTCTAGAACTAGAATAGTACTAAAATTTTCTTGACATGAAAACTTTTGCTTTTGTTTAGAGAAAATCGGTTTTTAAAGTTGTTACATATATATATGCATGTGGTGGAAACTTGTACAAGAGTCATGCTTCTATACTCTTGATATTTAGCTATTAAGTAGTGTTAATATTTGGATTAAGGTGTGTATATTGGCTTATTAAGCAAGGAGATTTTTGTTTCGTAGAACAGCAGCTAAACAATTTTCCAAAGTGCAGGGCTCACTCTTGAAGACCCACAAACTGAAGATCTTACCCAAGAAGTCAGGGGATTTATATTTTCCAAAATTCTGGTATAATGATATTTTTTTAGCGTGATCTTGTATTTAATTGATACTTCCCTCAAATTTTATCTCTTCATTTTGAACCGTCACTCATATATCTAGAATTATTTATACTCAATTAATCATCTTTACTACTGGCATCAAAATGAAGTGAAGAATCCTCAAAGCTAATGCTTGTGACACATGTCATGGCTTGCTTTCATCTACAGGAACGCAAGCCAGAGTTAAAATCTGAGATCATGGCTTTCAGGGATTACCTTTTATCATCAGCAATTTCTGATACACTTGATGTCTGGGAACTTAAAGGTATTGACTTGAAAAATTGTGGCATGTTTTCAAGTATGATAGCTGCCTTTTCAGAATACTGACCCTAATTCTCATCACAAATATTAAAATGATAGATTTGGGACATCAAACTGCCCAGAGAATTGTTCATGCGGCTGATCCTTTGCTGACAATGCAAGGAATTAACCAAAATTTTCCCAGTGTGGTCTCTTCTTTGTCGCGAATGAAGGTTAGACATTTTGTTATAACATGTTTGAATTAGAATGGAACTTCAGAATGAAATAATTACCTGGTCCACGGCAAATTGTAATCAGGAAGTGCTTATATTGAAATGTGTCCTGCTAAAGTTTAGTTGTTCTTGTCTGATTTTAATTATTGTCTTTTGGATGTATTTGAACTTCATGCAGCTCAATGAGTCCATCAAGGATGAAATTATTGAAAATCAGCGCATGATCCCTCCCGGGAAGTCACTAATGGCCCTAAATGGTGCTTTAATCAATATTGAAGAAGTTGACCTCTATTTGTAAGAATTTAGGAATTAGGCTTCTATTATTAGTTCTCAGTTCATGTGATCCTTCTTCTACATCCATAATCCATTGCCACTTTGACATGACAATCTAATTTTGCATTTGTAGCTATTGAACTTATGCGAATATTCGTGTGGAGGATTGATCTCTCTTCTCTCTCTCTCTGATCTCTTTATCTTCTTTATCTTTCTTATGTTCTTATGTTATTTCTACCTTTTATCTTTCTTATGTTCTTTTATCATATATTTATTTTTTCTTTATCTTATCTTTTTTTTTATCTTAACTTTCATTTTTATTTTTCTTATCTTTCTTTTCTTTTTTGGCACCAATGTCATGGATCGATTCATGTTAGATTCATGTTAGCTGTCAGCTGACCCCAAATTCTTTTGAGAATAAGGCTTGGATGTTGTTGCTGTTGTAGCTATTGAACTTGTGCTCTAGCATGCATGAGTAAATCTGCCTGCATGACCTATGACATGTATAGTGGTTTTGCAATATCATTATTGTGATAGAACAGGACTCTAGCCTCTATGCATGATCTGTCTCATTGTTGCCTGAATATTTTCATTAAAATATGACAGTTTTGGAATGTCATCTCAGTATCCATTCGTAAGAAGGTTGCTATAGGAATCACATATTCTCATCTGGCCCTTGTAAAATTTTCCTGCCATGTTTTTTGCATGCTTTTATAGGGTTGTCAGATTTTAGACAAATAATTGACACGATAAGATAAACTTCACACTAGTAGTGTCCAGTTCAGAAGCTAGTTTTCTATTTATTCGCATGTTAGTAATGTTGTGTTTTTTTTCAGGCTTATTGAAATGGCTCATCAAGAGTTATCATTAGCTGATCAATACTCTAAATTGAAGGTATATGATTCTTAAACCTCGACCCAAGCTGTAATGAGGCATCCATACTTTGAATAAGATGCATGATTTACTATACTATCTGTTGCTTATAAAAATGTCAGATTCCTCCAACCACGATTAGGAAGCTTCTTTCTACTCTCCCCCCTTCTGATGGAAACTCCCTACGTATTGATTTTCGATCTCACCATGTTCATTATCTAAATGATTTGGAGGCTGATGCAATGTATCGGCGTTGGCGAAGTAACCTAAATGAGGTATAGTTTTCTCTTATTTATATAATTTGTTGTGGAAACCCTAGTAGTATGGGCTTAGCCCATTTGTATATCTTGTATAGGAAACCCTAGTATACTCTAAATATAGCTATAAATATAGCTTCTTGTATAGCATTTTGATATCAAGAATATGAAATACAACAATACTTTCACATGGTATCAGAGCCACTATGGCTATTCTTAGTATAGTGCTATGATTTTTCTGGCGGCGTCATTTCCGGCGATATTCCGGCGTGAACAGTAGCGCGGCTCTCAATTTAGTGCTTCCGGTAGTGATATTAACCCACCGCTGTGCTCAAGCTTCGTCGCGACTTACCGCCGGAGGAATCACCTGCGCCGCATCACCCACGCACCGCCACGCATCGCTCAGGTCCGCACCTGCAGTTTTACATATTTCCAGATCTTTGTCTTTCTGTTCATCTGGCGTTGACACCTCCTATCACCGGACATTCCTGAGGTCCCGGCGACCTGAACGGCGTAGGTTACGTCGCCGCCGCCGATCTCACGCGCCGCCGCCGATCTCACGCGCCGCCGCCGATCTCACGCGCCGCTGCCGAACCTTCACGCCGCCCAGATCGGTCGTCGCCACTGCTCTTTCCGCTCACCGCTGCCTTAGCCGCTCACCGCCCGCCGCCCGCCGTTCACAGTTCTTCTTGCTGGTTTGAAAACTTTCAGTGTTCTGCTTCTTGTTTGCTAGAGTACTCCGTATTTTCTTGCAGTAACTTTGAATTACTCATATTTAATTTTCTCTTTATTTATTTAAAAAAAAAAGGTAAAAAAAAAAAAGAAATGTCTTCTGGTTTTGCTTCATTTGCTTCAGTTCCTATTATTACAACGGACCGTTTGGTTGGAAGTGCTAATTATCAATCATGGGCCATTTCTGTGGAGATGTGGTTCAAAGGTCAAGGACAAATTGATCACTTGCTTACAGATGCCAATTCAGTCAAGGATAAGAAAACGGAATGGGAGAATATGGATGCACTGTTATGCAATGTTTTGTGGCAATCCATGGACTCCAAACTTCACCTTACATATCAATCATATCGGACGTGTAAACAGATTTGGGAGAAAGCCAAGTCTAATTACACTAACGATATTCAAAGTTTGTTTTCTTTCGGATCCAAAATTGCCACGCTCAAGCAACAAGAATTGGACATCCAGGATTTTCTAGGCCGGGCTGAGGCTTTACTCTTTGAGTATAATACCATTCAACCTATCACAGAAGATAGAGAGAAACAACTAGAACAACGCCAACAACTTGTTATGGTTTTAGCTTTGGCGGGTCTTCGCCCAGAGCTATTATCTATACGTGAACAAATTCTCTCTAGCTCTACTGTTCCCACTATGACAGACGCTTTTTCCCGAATTCTTCGTGCGGCCCCAATAACTGCTGAATTGGGTTCTACAGATTCTACCATTCTTGCATCACAAGGCGTGGGGTCCGACGGAGGAAACAACAAAGGATATTTGCGTCGAAACCGACCTAAATGTGATTACTGTCATAAGATTGGGCATACTAAAGATAGATGTTGGAAGTTACACGGGAGACCTCCTAGCTCAGCCACTGTTGCTCAGATTCCGCCATCTCTGGTTGTTCTACCTCCAGATGAATATGCTGCATATCAGAAATTTAAGTCTGCTCATGTGCCTTTATCTACACCTGGTACGTCTACCGCTTGTGTTTCAAACACCACAGGCTCATGGATCATTGACTCAGGTGCTTCAGACCATATTTCTGGTAATCCCCATCTTTTATCCCACATTACCAAGCACCAACACCTTCCTTTAATTACTTTGGCTAATGGCCATCAAACTTCGGCCACGGGTATTGGGCAAGCACTACCACTTTCATCCTTACCACTACATTCAGTCTTATATGTTCCTAATAGCCCTTTTAACCTTGTCTCTGTTAGTAAAATCACGCGTGCTCTTGATTGTTCTATAACCTTTTTTGCTGATTCTGTAACTGTGCAGGACCGTCGTTCGGGGAAGACGATTGGCGTCGGGCATGAATCTCAAGGCTTGTATCATCTTCATCCTGTTGATCCAATCGCTTGTGTCTCTGTTGAACCTGCATTAACGTTACATAACCGCTTGGGTCATCCTAGCCTCTCAAAGTTCCGACGTATGGTTCCAGGTTTCTCAAGCCTTTCGTCTTTAGATTGTGAGTCATGTCACCTTGGAAAGCAACCTCGTAAATCCTTTCCAAGGCGTGTTAATAAACGGGCTGCGTCCCCTTTTGATTTAGTTCATACAGATGTGTGGGGTCCGTATCGAGTCACTTCTACTTTAGAATTTCGCTATTTTGTTATTTTTGTGGACGACTTTTCCCGTTACACATGGTTATTTTTAATGAAAGAACGTTCTGAATTATTCCATATTTTTCAGACTTTTTGTGCCGAAATCCACACTCAGTTTGGTCATTCTATCAAAGTCTTACGCAGTGATAATGCTAAAGAATTTTTTGCGGCACCCTTTAATCAATTCATGGCATCACGGGGTATGCTTCATCAGTCTTCTTGTGTACACACACCTCAACAAAATGGGGTAGCTGAACGCAAGAACAGACACTTAGTTGATACTGCCCGTACTATGCTACTACATTCACATACACCACCTCAGTATTGGGCAGACGCTGTACTCACTGCGTGTTATTTAATAAATAGAATGCCTTCCTCGGTTATTGATAATGAAATTCCTTATTCTTTGTTGTTTCCTAGTCGTGAGTTATTTCCATTACCACCTCATGTGTTTGGGTGTGTGTGTTTTGTCCATGATTTTACACCTGGATTATCTAAAATGTCAGCTAGGTCAATAAAATGCGTTTTTCTTGGATATTCACGAGTCCAAAAGGGTTATCGTTGTTATTCTCCATTACTTAAAAAGCATTTTATTTCGGCTGACGTCACTTTTATCGAGTCCTCCTTTTATTACCCATTATCTTCTGCTGATACTCCATCATGTTTGGACTTCGTCTCATATCTCCGGCCCATTCATACAGAAACGGTTATTTCTCCTCCATCTGATGAGCACCCCCACTGCCCTCCTGTGGTAGACCCTCCTCCATTACAGGTATACCATCGTCGTCCTCGACCTCCTGCCATTGAGCCTATCGTGGCCACGCCAGTTGATTCCCCTGTGACGGTTCATGCATCATCCCCATCAACTACCGCACCACCTGAAAACACTCTGGATGATTTGCCCATTGCCCTCCGAAAAGGTACACGTTCTACACTGAATCCACATCCCATATATAACTTTTTGAGTTATCACCGCCTCTCTAAACCGTACTATGCTTTTATTTCCCACCTGTCTCATATATGCATTCCTAAAACCACACATGAGGCACTGGCACACCCGGAGTGGCGTAAAGCCATGTTGGCTGAGATGGAGGCTCTCCATTCTAGTGGGACGTGGGACTTGGTCCCCCTACCCGCTGGAAAATCAGTGGTGGGATGCCGGTGGATTTACACGGTTAAAGTTGGGCCTGATGGGGAGATTGATCGTTTTAAGGCACGCCTTGTGGCAAAAGGGTATACTCAGATATATGGTTTGGATTACACTGACACTTTTTCTCCTGTAGCGAAGATTGCATCAGTTCGTTTGATTTTATCCATGGCAGCAATGAGCCGTTGGCCATTGTTCCAATTGGATATCAAAAACGCATTCCTTCACGGAGATCTACACGAGGAAGTTTATATGGAGCAACCACCTGGGTTTGTTGCTCAGGGGGAGTCTGGTATGGTGTGCAGGTTACGTCGTTCATTGTATGGCTTGAAGCAATCTCCACGTGCATGGTTTGGGAGGTTTAGTGCCGTTGTCTGCAGCTTTGGCATGATTCGCAGTGCTGTTGATCATTCTATATTCTACAGACATTCTGCTGACAACAAATGCATTTATCTTGTTGTGTATGTTGATGACATTGTCATTACAGGTAGCGATGATCAAGGAATTGTGCTCCTCAAACAACATCTCTTTAGCAAATTTCAAACAAAAGACTTGGGAAAGTTGAGATACTTCCTTGGCATTGAGGTCGCACAGTCTGAAAATGGAATTGCTCTCTCACAAAGAAAGTATGCCTTGGATATTCTTGAGGAAACAGGGTTGCTAGATTGCAGACCAGTGGATACACCAATGGATATAAACGTTAAACTCTTATCAGAACAGGGAGATCTTTTGCCCAACAAGGAAAAATATAGAAGACTTATTGGCAAATTAAATTATCTTACCATCACAAGACCAGATATTTCATTTGCGGTAAGTGTTCTTAGTCAGTTTCTTGATAAGCCATGTACTGGACATTGGGATGCAGCTATCCGAGTTTTGAGATACATCAAGAAAACTCCAGGGCAAGGATTGTTGTTTGAAAATCGAGGCCACCATGATATTGTGGGATACTGTGATGCAGACTGGGCCGGATGTCCGATGGATAGACGTTCCACTTCGGGATATTGCATCTTGATTGGTGGAAACTTAATTTCATGGAAAAGTAAGAAACAGGATGTGGTTGCCAGATCTAGTGCTGAAGCAGAATATCGTGCAATGGCCCTTGCTACATGTGAAATCTTATGGTTGAAGCATCTCCTCCAAGAGTTAAAATATGGCAACACTAAACCGGTTCAACTCATGTGTGATAATCAAGCCGCAATGCACATCGCATCAAATCCGGTATATCATGAGAGGACAAAACATATTGAAGTTGATTGTCATTTTATCCGAGAGAAGATCACAAGTGGACATATCATCACAAAATATGTGAACACAACTGGACAACTTGCAGATATTTTAACTAAGTCTCTTAGAGGTCCTAGAGTGGGATATATTTGTAACAAGCTTGGTACATATGATTTATATGCTCCAGCTTGAGGGGGAGTGTGGAAACCCTAGTAGTATGGGCTTAGCCCATTTGTATATCTTGTATAGGAAACCCTAGTATACTCTAAATATAGCTATAAATATAGCTTCTTGTATAGCATTTTGATATCAAGAATATGAAATACAACAATACTTTCACAGTAACTAATTCAGAGATTATCCTCCTATTCTTCAAAACTTCATTTTGCTGCTGTAGATTCTGATGCCTGTCTTCCCTGGACAAATGCGTTACATCAGGAAAAACTTATTCCATGCTGTTTATGTACTAGATCCTGCCTCCATTCAGGGACTTGAGTTAAGTTCTTGTCATCGTTCTTCTAGCTTGAAGATTTCGATTTTGATACTTATTTCTGTCTAAATTGTGTAAGTTCAAAGCCAACTAAAAGAAAGAGAATTAACATTTTCATCTTTTGAAACTTGCAGACGATTGACGTGATTATTTCACTGTATGAGAACCATATGCCTATAAGGTTTGGTGTTATATTGTACTCTGAAAAGCTAATCAACCAGATAGAATCAAATGATGGTGAACTTCTCTTGCCTCAAAGAAAAGATGCTAGCCTGGTAAAGGAGGATATTTCCAGTCTGGTAATTCTTCTTGCCTCATTCTGATTCTATTCTCATTCTACTGCATTATAGCTCATTTTTGTTGTTACGATACATGAATAGATGATGTGAAGACATTTATTGGTATTTGAGTACTAGATAACTAGATAAGATGTACTTGTTACCTTTTATGTTTCACAATGATACCAAGTGCATATGGATGTTGTGGAGAGATTCTGGTCTTTTAAAGTCTTGTTCTCAAATAACTATTGTTTAAGATTTGTACACATATTACAAAATCAATATTATCTTTTATGGACTCGAGATGTAAATGCTGCAATTTGACCAGAATACCCTTCATTAGTGTATTAAATATTATATAAAGTGCTATGGAGCATTTATAGATCGAGAACGACAGTTGTAGAAAATGAGCAATGAATTATGCCTTGATATCCGAAAGTGACACTTCGTTTAGAGTGAATTGTTTTTCTCAAAAATGAAAATTATTTAGGAACAAGCTAGATAAGATTGAGTGATTTTTGTTATATGGTCTAGTGTTGCATATCTGCAACTAGTGCTGCAATAGTATGCTTTCTTTTGATGTCAGTTAAATGACACCCACTTTGATTTATAAATTGTCATATTAAAATTAAGCTTTTGATTAAGGTAGTTTATGAATACTTGATCCACAAAGTTATCTATTAATGTGTTTGGTTGTAGACATCTCACCCGAAGACTCAGTAATAGTAAACAGTAGTTATGCACGTTCTCATGCCTCTGAACTTCTTTAGTTTGTCTCTGACATATCTGAAGTCCATGGTAAAAATCCGAAAGTTGAAGTCTTGTAAGAAGCATCATGCTATGGGATCATTGTGGAATACTGCATTAAATTATAAGGAATTCATTTAAATCACATTTTTGGTCCCTCATTTATATTGCATATTGAAATGTAGCCATTGTCTTTTAGTTTTTGCAAATGTTGTCCCTAAAATGTGTAACAAGTTGTATCAACAGTTCCCGTTTTTAATAACTTAACAAACTCGATTTTTTATTATTAACGGATGGACTAAATTTACAATATGTTTTAAATTGAGGAAATTTCACAACTAAGGGATGAGAGTTTCACAAAATTGTAACAGAGTTTTTTGCTGCATTTTAACGAAACAAATGTGAAGCATAAATTTGCAATTTATTTCATAATTAAGGGATGACATTTACAAAAATTAGAAGACGGGGGGTACATTTCAAAATAAAATATCATTGAGGGACTAAAAGTTCAATTTCTCCCAGCGTCATTGTTAATTTATTACCATTGAGCAGTTTGAAACATTCATAGTTACAGTAGCCTTTTATTTTCTTTATGATTTTCACATTACTAAGTTTTCTAGGACACTAAAATTTTAATATGCCTTTCGTTGATTTATAATTCATTAGTGAACTGATGGAATTTGTTCAAAAATTTAATTTTGCAGATCATAAGACTTTTCCTCTATTTGAAGGAAAATCATGGGAATGCTATGGCTTTCAAGTTTTTGAGCAATGTATGGAGTATGGACGTATTACCTACCCAAATAAGACTATGTGTCCTATAAATTTCTAAAATGTGTTTGCAGTACATGGTGATAATGTGGTACAATTTGACAAACTAACTAATTATTCCTCTGTAACATAGGTTAATAAATTGCGAATTGATTCAAGCGCCGACGATGCTCCTGAAATGCACCATGTTGAGGGGGCATTTGTTGAAACTGTTTTGTAAGTCATAGATTGCAATCCATTAAGCATCAACTCATCGGGATGTAATTTTACTGTTTAAATTGTCTAATTATTTGGGGCCTCATTCATTTAATGGATTCTCCTTCAACAAATTAGTATGAGTCTCACTAATATATATTTTTTGTATTCGCTGACGATCTTCTTTCGGCAGACCTGAAGCAAAATCACCACCACAAGATACTTTGCTGAAACTGGAAAGGGAGAACACTTTTAAAGAAGTATCTGAGGAGAGTTCATTGTTCGTCTCTAAGCTGGGCTTGTCCAAGCTCCAGTGTTCCCTTCTGATGAATGGCCTTGTCACTGACCCCAGTGAGGTATTGATAGTTTATAGTTTATGCGGATATCTGACGAGCTTATTTTCAGATTACTAAAAATTATCTACTATTTTTCTATACGTCTAAGCTATTACAAAGAGCTTAACACAATAAGTTCACAATAAAAGAAGCTTAGGAGGTCAGTTGAAATATGAAACCATTTAAAGCTGCCTGAGCTTATTGAAAAGAAAAATGGTGTAATATGCCATTTTTCCTGACTGAGGCTACACATTAGTTATAAATAAGAAGTACAGAATTACTTGTCAACAAAGTGTTATAATATTGCAAATTTGCAATTCATTTTCTTCAATCCCTAAAACAAGTATATTTTGGGAATGCATTTCTTTCCAGTTGAAATGTCTTACAAGTAGAATATGAATAATAATGGTACCACACAGCAATAATCAATGATGAATTTGATACTATTTTAAGGATGCTCTTATGAATGCCATGAACGAAGAGCTTCCCAGAATACAAGAACAAGTTTACTATGGTCAGATAACTTCTCACACTGATATTTTGGAGAAATTCTTGTCAGAAAATGGTGTTCAGCGTTATAATCCTCTGGTACATGTGTTATAATTTAGTATTGTGAATTTGTGATTCATTATTCTACAAATTTATCACCAGGTGTCTTGCTAAGCTTGACTTTGATGATGTAGATAATGTCTGATGGGAAAGCCAAACCAAGGTTTGTATCTCTGTCTGCAGCAATTCTTGAAGAGGAGTCAGTGATAAACGACATCAGTTACTTGCACTCTCCAGAAAGTAAGCTATAATTAAGCTAAAATGATCAGTTTCAAAAACACAATAGGGATAAGTTTGTCATTGGACTGTGTCTTGTACTTTTTTGTCCAGCCATTGACGATTTAAAGCCAGTGACTCATCTCATTGGTGCCAATATCACATCAAAGAAAGGGATAAGGTTGCTTCGCGAAGGAATCCAGTATCTGGTATTTTCATCTCTTAGCTATATTGCTATCTGTTGGTTTGAATAATTGAAATAGCTTAATTATTCAAGAGTCAGAGAGTTGTATAAATACACATGTACAGGGGGTTATGTATAAATCCACACTATAATTGTTGTTATTAGAGGGTGTTTGGTTCGCATGATCTTACATTACCTTGGTAATGTAATCTTACCATTTGCCATTTCGTTGATGGGTTAATTAACATTTATCAACAACAATAATATTAATGGTGAGTAATAGTTTTTAATATTGATGTTATTATTAATGATGATAATGTTACTCTTTTCATTAATATTGTGAAATGGATTGATGTATTTATTCACAACATTATAATATTACTAAATAGTAGTAATATGCTAATATAGTACTCAATATTAATATTATCACTTATTATTGCTATTCATTTATTATTAGTAAATGGATTGAGGGTATTTAAGTGAAATACTTGTTTGACACTATACAAAATATCTAACCAAACAGTTTCATTTTACACCTTAAAACTTTTAACCAAACACAAACTAAACACATCCCCTGCAATTTAACATTCCTTTGTTATCCGTTGATCCAAACAGCCTATTCAAATATTTATTCTTTTAATTGATTGATATGTATGTGTTCTGGTTATTGTTGTTGCAATGTTAGCTAACTGTGCTACTTCTGCAGATGGAAGGTACTGCAAATGCACGCCTTGGCGTGCTATTCAGTGATATTCCCAATAACCATTGGCCAAGCATTCTTTTTATCAAATTCTTCAAAGTTACATCCGCATCATATAGGTATATTGCTTCTGAATCCTGATTTTTAGTTTTGACTAATAAGGTCAGATTCTTAGTGGTGTACTTTCTTCATACTTGTTTGCTTTTGTTCTCTTTCACTCATGTCCCTCTACACAATTATAACAATGTGTGCAGCCACAATAAGAGAGTGTTAGAGTTTCTGGATCAACTTTGCTTGTTCTATGAGCGTGAATACGTGCATTTACCTGCTCCAGTTACCGAAAACAAGCAAGTGTTTATTGATAATGTCTTTGAAATGGCAAACAAAAATGGATTGCCTTCTAAAGTCTATGAGTCTGCTCTCTCAGTGCTCTCAGATGACAAGATTAAGGCATACGTGTCTAAGGTGTCTCTTCATCTTGACTGTCATTTATCCTATGCTCTCCATAGTTATCCATATGTTTATAAATTTTTAATGTACTCTACAAAGAAAACTATTCTTAACTATAAGCTACTCTAAATTTCATCTTTCTGTATGCATATTCCATTTAGCTCCATTACTTATAAATTGATAAATGTGCAGGTGGCTCAATTTTTATATAGGCAGGTCGGGGTTGAATCTGGAAGTGGTGTTGTCATTACAAATGGAAGGGTTGGTTTAATTTGGCCTCTTCTGCTTGATATGAAAGATAGGGATTTATTAGTATTGCATGTATTTCATATATGTGCTTTTTTTGTGCTTTTTTTCACGTGCAGATATTGTGCATTGTTTTTAAAATTTAATAAATGCTATCTTTCATAAAGTTTTATTATCAATATTCAAACCTCCTTGCTTAAGGGAGTGTTTGCTATCACTTAAAAAAAGCACTTCACAGCTTTCAACTTAAAAAAAAGCAGAAAATGGTGTTTGCAATTACCTGCTTTTACTTAAAAAAAAGCACTTTAAAGTTAAAAGCTGGAAGTTGGTATATACTTACTTCTTACTGCTTCTAGTTTTTTTTGTAAATAAGTGAAACTGTTTGGATAATTATAATGCCAACAAAATTCATCTAACCCCAAAATACCCTACAATAATTATAACTCATCTGACCCCATCTCCATATCTGTCCGTTGTCCAGCTTCATCTCCCAAACTCTGAACCACTGCAATGTCGACAGCCAAAAATTCACGTTTCTTTTTCTTTTCCTTTTCGCCACAATCATCTCCTATCACCTCCCATTGCAGTTATCTCCATTATAAAACAAACTAAAATGATAAAACGTAAAAAAATCTGAAGCTCTGGAAGCTAAAAGCCTAAAACCAATACTCCATTTAAAACGTGAAATTGAAGTGAAGAAGGTTAATTAGGGCCACAGGGGACCAATTATCCTTCAACATGCGGCTGGGGAGTAGGATGGCACAGATGCCGCTGCGCTGATTGTTGTCGCCGGCGGAACAAGACACTCCTTCCACAGACGCCTAGGGAGCGGATGGCACAATCTTCGCCGCTTTGGTGTTCGTTCAGGCAGTATCACGGCAGACAACGGCTCTTCTTCCATGGACAGTTGGGGATTGGGATGGAACGACTCTCCTTCCCCAACCCCTGTCTTTCTTCTTTTGTCCTAGGCGGAATTTTGTTATCCGAGCTTTCAGAGGGTAATTACTCCAGGGTAATATTGTAATTTTACAATTTACTCCTAACAAAATCACTTTTTTTTATTAAACACTCCAACTTCAACTTTTTCATTTAAAGCACTTCCATTCTAATACACTACCAACTTTTATCTTTAATCACTTTCTCAAAAAGCACTAAAAAGAATCACTTTTTAAAAGCAGAAGCAAGCACAAACACTCCCTAATAGAGTTTTCACTTTTATTAAAATCTTTATCTTTAAAATCTTTTCGTTATAAATTTTTTATTATAAATAATTATGTCCAATGATGAATTTATTCTGTTTGTGTAGGACGGTTGTTTGTTATACACATTTATGCAAATATTCTAATTTAAGTCTTAATTATCAATGATAGGTGGTTAACCTTGTTGAGGGCACTACATTCTTAAGCCATGATTTGCAGCTTCTAGAGTCTCTGGAATTTAAGCAAAGGATAAAGCACATTGTAGACATTACAGAAGAGGTGAATTGGGAGGATGTGGACCCAGACATGTTGACAAGGTTATTTCTCTTATCTACTTCCTTTTGAAACAACTTTCCCTGAACTAATGAAGTACATACTTTTTAATGCTTCTATTATAATTTGCTAACATTTTTCATAAATATATTTCTCCATTCATAGTAAATTCATCAGTGACATCATCCTGTCCATCTCTTCTTCAATTTCTTCACGGGATCGAAGTTCTGAAAGTGCTCGCTTTGAGCTTTTGTCTGCAACGTACAGGTTAGATCCCTAACAATTGACAGTCACTGCCAATTCCTTTCACAAGATGCATACTCTTGTAGCCCACGTCAACTGTAATTTAACTTGTAGACAGTCACACTAGTTCAATCTCTGTTATTGAAATACTCAATAAACATGAGATTTCCATCCCATTTGGTTGATGCTATGCCCAACTTGATCATTGAATTTTCTGAATCTATCTAAGCTTGACTGTGACTTTATAGTGCTCCAAATAATAACTAATACTTGATTTAGTCCCTTGACTGTGACTATACACTGTTACTCAACTTGGTCCTCAACTTTTCATTGGACTCAATCTGTTCTTTGGACCCAACTTAGTCCTCACACGCATTTGGTTCTAGTAGGAAGGATATTAACTCCTCTAAATAATCTAGTTTTAGAATATGTTTCTGAACATATATCTTTCCCTTTTGTGGATCTGTTGTTATCATTATTTACTTTCTTTTTACAGTGCTGTTGTGTTGGAAAATGAAAATGCTAGCATTCATATTGATGCTGTAATTGATCCTCTGAGTTCCTCTGGTCAAAAATTGGCTTCTCTTCTTGATCTACTTTCGAAATCCATTCACCCAAGCATGAGGCTTGTACTGAATCCAATGGTAATTTTTATCCAATTCTCATCAATGGTTGCCGGAGAGTTCATCTTAGTGGTTACTTCCGAAACAATGAGAGTTGCATTATTATCAGCCACTGAAGAATTATACATTGTTTTTTGTATGCAGAGTTCTCTTGTTGATCTACCACTGAAGAATTATTACAGATATGTAGCGCCAACACTGGTATAGCCCAGTGCATATAACCTTTTTCTCTAGATAAATTATTTTCTGAATAATTTATTTGTAATTTTACAGGATGACTTTAGCTGGAAAGATTTTACAGTGCACGGCCCACAAGCATTTTTCGCAAATATGCCACCATCAAAGACCTTAACTATGAATCTTGATGTGCCTGAGCCATGGCTTATTGAACCCGTCATTGCTGTGTATGTTTAGAATAACCATTTTCTCCGTCAGTGAATGAACATATAACTATATTCATTATTCATGCCTAATGTTTTTTAGTATGCTTGCAGCCATGACCTGGATAACATATTGCTTGAAAACCTTGGTGAGACCAGGACACTTCAAGCAGTGTATGAACTTGAAGCTCTTGTTCTAACAGGTTATTCCTTATATGCATTTAGTTCCAGATCTACATTAACCACCTAGACTAATGATTATATTTAGTGCATTATTTTATCCCGAAAAATGATAGGGGAAGAGAAAAAATGCTAAGAAAGGTATTTCCATGTGTTTGATTTTATCTTGCAAAACTCATAAGAAAATAAAAGGAAAACTTTATCTTTACACCCCATGTTCTTTCAAATATTTTACTTTGTGTCTCATGTTTTTTAACTGTCTGTGCTTCTTTGTTATGAAGTAGCTGTCAGCTCATGCATTTATCCGACGCGATTTTCACCATGGGTCATCCGGAAACAGTCTCTTTGTGCTTTAGTACAAGGGTAAGACTGCGTACATCTGACCCCCCTTACCCCACCATAGGTGGGGAGCCTTTGCGGCACTGGGGTAATGATGATGATGATGATGATGATGATGCACCCAAGTTGTGGTGCTAAGTGTAACGAGTGGGTGAAAGTGATAGAAATGGCTTGTTGTTAGGTGCAGTTCTGTAGGTTTTAGGAATAAAACTTCCTTGAATATTATTCAGCCATTGGGCAGTGGTATATATACAGAGTACAGATAACAACTATTCTGTTTCAGATCCTAAATAATAGGATCTAACTATCTACGAGCTTATCTAATAATTAAAGAAGTCTATTAGTTCTAAATTCTTATCTATACACTACACACATACATAAAATAAATGTTACAAACATATGTCACATTTTTCAACAGTTCAAAGAATACAAAACATGGGATGGAATGTCAAATAAAAAATATTAGTGTAAAACATAGGATGCATTGAGTTACTTTTCCAAAAAAAACATAGGATGCATTTGAGTAACTTTTCCAAAATGAAGTATGGTTCATGCTATAATCTTTTACATATATTTGGATTTTTGAATGTTTCTGTAATAGGAATAAATAAAATGAGTTTGAAGAAATATAAAAAGTGAATCTGTTGAGACTGAATCAAAGCCCTGCCCCCCATTCCTTAACCAGGTCATTGTGTGGAGAAGGATCATGATCCTCCACGAGGTCTTCAGCTGATCCTTGGAACAAAGAGCAGCCCCCACCAGGTTGACACTCTTGTCATGGCCAATTTGGGTTACTGGCAAATGAAAGTCTCTCCTGGAGTTTGGTACCTCCAGCTTGCTTCGGGCAGAAGCTCAGAACTTTACATCATGAAAGAAGACAGTGGTGATGGAAGTGGAGAGGATACAATTTTGTCAAAACGTATCATTATTGACGATCTGCGGGGTAAGCTTGTCCACATGGAAGTGGTGAAAAGGAAAGGAAAGGAGCATGAGAAATTGCTAGTTCCCATTGATGAAGATAGTCGTTCCCGAGTCCGTAAGAAGGTTATTGAATCAATAAATCCTATACACCGTACTTAGTAAGGTTGTAAGTATTAACTCCATTTGGATGCGGTTTTTGACAAACTCAGAAGTGCTTTCGAGGGTCAAAAGTGCCTTTCCATGATGCTTTGGTGTCATTTTCAAAAGTGTTTTCGAAAAAAAAAATTTATAAAGTTGCTTTTTAAAGCAGAACTTGATAGGCGATTCTTGCAAAAGTGTTGTGAGAGATAAAGGGCAGCACGGTCCGGGGAAGGGTCCCACCACAAGGGTGTATAGGGAGCAAGCATTACCTTGTCATTTTGACAAGAGGCCGCTCCCAAGACTTGAACTCGTGACCTCTCGGTCACACAAAACACCTAAATCGGTGTGCCAAGGCTACCCTTCAATTTAGCAACACCTTGTGAGAGATAATAAGATAATTAAATTTTATTTAGAAATTCTAGTTCAAAAAATATGTAGCATTATCACCAAGTGTTATACTACCTCCGTCCTCTAAGATAGTCCCATCTTTCCCTTTTGGTCCAATGGTCCATCCCAGTAAAATTGTCTCATACCTAATTTGGTAATGTTTATGTGATTCTAAATCATTCTTATTGTATTCTCACTTTATTAAATTAATATTAGCCACATAACATCACTTTTCTTGGTAACCGCACCACCTCCTGTACCAATGTTAGGAGGACGGAGGTAGTATTACTCATTAATAGAAACGCTCTCAGTAGAATCACTTTTATAAAAAGCTCCTCTTCTCAAAACCATTTATTTAAAGCGCATCCAGTCAAGCCCTAAGAGTTGCTGAAATTGTTTGCCTATTCAATGATTTTGCAGGGGAATCAGAACAGATGGAACTCCAATTTTCTTAAATGGGCTTCTGGGATTATTGGGGCCAGTGACCAGTCAAAGAGTGAAAGCACACCAGTAATAATAATAATAATAATGATAATAATAATAATGGTTTTGTTGTGTTTGCTTGTTAGTCACTGATACATACCGTGTAAAAGAAGAATTAGGATAACAACTGAAAATTTCTAGCTTGTCATCTTATATAGGAGGAACTGGGAAGAGGTGGTCGTCATGGAAAAACAATCAATATATTTTCGGTAGCTTCTGGACACTTGTAAGTTTTTTTTATTCATCTTCATTAATCGTGATATGGGAATTAACATAACAAATGAATTTTTAGGTTCAATCTTTTTATTCTCCTTTCTTTCCATCATTTGCAATGGAGCCAAAGATTCATTATTTTTTGGCTTGAGAATATGATGGAATAAAGCAAAATGGCTCACTAAACCGCCTGCGCTTCTTTGTTATGAAGCAACAGTCAGTCCATGCATTTTTGGATGCGATTTTCACTATGGGTCATCCGGAAACAGTCTCTCTGTGCTTTAGTACAAGGGCAAGACTGCGTACATCCGACCCCCCCTTACCCTACCTTAGGTGGGAGCCTTTTGCGGCACTGGGGTAAATGAAAATGAATCTTTTTATTCTCCTTTCTCTTTGTTTAACTTTTTAAAAGAAAACATGTGGATTACTGCCTTTACAATTCTGCGCAATTCTATATTATTTCCTTTTGATGGGCATTGATAGAATTCATAATAAGATCAGGGTCAGAAAAATTGAATCCAATTGATTAGCTAGTTTAATCCAAAAGCCATAGTAACATTGGTCTTCTTTAATATATCTGTGAGGTTCTTAACACTTCAAGAATCATTATTCCATCAATTTCTAAAATATTATTGGTGCAGGTATGAACGCTTCCTAAAAATAATGATTTTGAGTGTTCTGAAGAACACAAACCGGCCTGTAAAGTTCTGGTTCATAAAGAATTATCTCTCTCCTCAATTCAAGGTTCTTATTACTACTGGAATCATTTTTTTACTCCTATAGCATTATCCTTTTTCATTTGAGTTCACCATTAAAATTTGCTCAGGATTTGATTCCTCACATGGCAAGGGAATATGGATTTGAGTACGAATTAATCACATATAAATGGCCTACGTGGTTGCATAAACAAAAGGAGAAACAGAGAATCATTTGGGCATACAAAATTCTGTTTCTTGATGTCATTTTTCCTCTTGCTCTGGAGAAGGTATTATTCTTTTAGATCTATAATGATAAATATGCTTAAAGCTATGTTTGGAACCTTGAAAATGTATGGTAATGACTTTTTATGCTTGGTTTTGGCTAGGAAAATACGAACAGCAATCAAGATTGGTAAATCATTTTTAAAAATTGTCATATTTTTTGTTTCCCTAGCTTTTGTATAAAATAAGAATGTTTAAACAAAGTTACTTCGAACAAACATCTAAAATTGATCTATTGTATATGAACCACTTGTTTTGCTCATCTATCTGCTTTCAGATTTCCCCTGTCCCCTCTAATGTCTTCCTTTTTTTCCCTAGCATTTCCCAGGTTCCATATGGACCTTAGAGTTTTTAATTCATTGAACCTCTTGTTTTATTAAGCAATGTAATGCATGTTTCACTACCCCCCAGTATCACTTCACAAGCATGATTTTGTGGTAAAAGTCATATTTAGTGAGAAGTCATCACGTAACCTATGGATTTTGAACCCACGTTAGGGACAAAATCATGTCCCAAAGAAGACACCCAACATGCAACCAAATTTTCTTTCCGTAGCAGTCTATGACATCCCTACTTGTGCAGGTTATATTTGTTGATGCAGATCAGATTGTAAGAGCAGACATGGGCGAACTGTATGACATGGATCTGAGAGGGCAACCTCTAGCCTATACTCCTTTCTGTGATAACAACAGAGATATGGATGGCTATCGTTTTTGGAAACAAGTAAAAGACACTTATGCGAAAGACTAAATTTATTCATATTATCAAAACCATTGCATGATCTTATATCACACTTTTCCTATAGGGCTTCTGGAAGGACCACTTGAGGGGGAAACCATATCATATCAGGCAAAGCACAATCACCAGCCTACTGAATGAATTCATTACAAAGCTAACTTTTATCCTTTTTTAGGACTTCCAAGTTCTAACACGGGATGTGCAATTTTTATTTTGCAGTGCTTTATATGTTGTTGACCTGGTCAAGTTCCGAGAGACTGCTGCTGGAGATAACTTGAGAGTATTCTACGAAACACTAAGCAAGGATCCCAACAGTCTATCTAATTTGGATCAGGCAAGTTAATTTCCTTTTGGTTACTTAAAAAAAAGTCCTTGTACATTGGGTCATTTCCCACTTTGTCTTGATTTTCAATTTGGTTACATGTGTACTATGACTGTCGATGTTCCTTTCAGATTTAGTCCTCGAATTAATTTCGCTGTTTTCCATCAAGAACGATATTAAAATTAGAAGCAGAACTAGTAAGAGACTAACATGGACTGCATTATGATAGATGGCAATTCCTATTGTAGGCGTTATTCTTAACAAAGAACACAGGATTTCCTCACGAATACTCAATTTGGAAGAGGACTAAGGAGGAATTTTCTGAGATAGGACTAATGCATAGCACATTTCCTCAAATAAGAGTTTCATTATTTTTACGTACTTAGTCACCCTTAAAAGAAGTTTTAGCTACTTTTATTACAACCAAGTGGGTCCTATTTTTAGGATAAATAAGACACAATCCTATTTATGCGCTTTATTGATGTTATACTCTTTGCAGCAATTTCCTTAAGAGGACAACATGAAACTACATTTGATATTTATTTTTGTAAACTTATTCACCTCTCATACCCCCCATGTGTGGTTGGATAAGCCATTTGGGTTGTGGAGGATCCCATATCACCTTTCTACTTGATTGTAGGTCTGGGATCGGTTCGGTTCTTGTTACAATTCAATGGAACCGTATTAAAAATCATAAACTTTAATATCGGTTCGGTTCTAGTTAAAAATGTAGTTGTTAAATTCGGTTCGGTTCTAATTAAATTCGGTTCGGTTCTTACATTTTTTCGGTTCCTTATAAAAATTTATCATCATACTAAAATGAACAAATTTTACCTTCAGTTACGTAAACAAATTCAAATTTCAAATCATGAAATTATGTCCATTACATTACACATACTTGATATCCCAATATAATGTTTAAATATCACAAAATCTCACATTAAATTTAAACATAACAAAAACATAAAGGTTTAAAATAGGCATCAACTGTCAAGCAAAAAGGTTTAACAACTCCAAGGTACACATCCCATAGCAGGTAGTTTCAAGCCCACAATAATATTCTTCTACTAATAATGCAAGTAAAAAGTTCGTAGTAATAAACTGATTCATAATTTGTAATTTATTATGAACAAATAACAATGTAATTAGCGGAATATTAATTCCTTTTTAGGTCAACTCAAATAACAAATACAATTACAAACAAACAATAAATATACTTCCTAACAAACAATAAATATAAAAGTGAACTAAACTAATTAAAAATAATTACTCGGATTGGCCTGGTCCACAATATATAAGGTATATTATGCGAGACAAATATTCCTGATAAGAATTTTCTGCCTGAATTGCCATCTAGCCACCTCAATTTGAGGTGCTTCCGAGTATAAGTTTTTGATGACATTTTGTGACAATGTTTTACTTGAAGTGTAGATTATATCCACCAAATTTCAGCTTAAAATTCAACCAGGAAGTGAGTTAAATAAAATATTTAAAAACATTGCGTTTTTACATATATCTTGACGTAGTATTTTTCAATAATTTTAAGCTCACATTTAGTGGACATAATCTCTACTTCATGAAAAATAAGCTCACAAAATTTCATTAAAAAATTCCACCCAGAAGCACATCAAATGAAGATTATGCATGCAATGTATAAGAAGTTCGGTTCCTGTGTAGGAACCGGAACCGAACTGGAACTGAACTGATCCTATACTATAGGAACCGAACCAAAAAAAGCTGAAGTCCAAAATTCTAGGAATCGAACCGGAAAATTCGGTTCGGTTCGGTTTTCCCGGTTTTACGGTTCTAAGTCCCAGGCCTACTTGATTGGTGTCTAGTATATAATGGGAGATAAAGCTAGCTTCTCGAGTCTCGAGATCCTTTGGGAATAAGTTACAGGAAATTTAACCTGATATTAAAGCATCTATGTGGACTGCTCTGTAGGCCCAACAACAACAACAACAACAACAACATCCAAGCCTTAGTCCCAAACGATATACCGCCCTGTAGGCCCAATTTATTAAAAATAGATGGGATCCCGTTAATGCCTTTCAAGGCATATTACTATATTATACTTCAACTTTCACCTTTGCTTTTCAAATGTTAATTGCTAACTGGTGGAATATAACACAATATGCAGGATCTTCCAAATTATGCCCAGCACACTGTTCCCATATTTTCACTGCCCCAAGAATGGCTATGGTGTGAGTCATGGTGTGGTAACACAACCAAATCCAAGGCAAAGACAATTGATCTCTGCAACAATCCCATGACAAAGGAGCCCAAGCTTCAGGTGACCAATCAACCATTATTTATCCTTTATTTTGCATGCAAGTGATATGAAATATCCTTATGATAATGATGGCAGTTATGGATGTTCGTCTCATTATCTCTTCGTTGTTAGATTGCGACATATTAGGAATGTAACAGGATTTGGGAAAGAAACTTCTCATTGATTTCAGATTTCAGTGAACTGTACATGTATTTATAGTCATCAAGACTTTAACAAACTAATAACAGACACAAACTAATATAACAAACTGGTCAACACTAATCTGCTATATAGTCTAGACTTATTACAATGAGGACATGTACAATATTCCTAACATGACATGAAGGCAATCTGGCCGAAACTTGGCCACTGCGCTTTTCTGCATGAAATTATAGTGCTAATTAATTTCTAGAAATTATACAATACAAATTTAATGTCACTGACCCCAACGTAGTTGGGATTAAGATAATGACTTGGAATAGATAAAAGCACCTTTGTCAAATTTCAAAAACAATATTTTGCTCTATTTATTGAGTTGGAGTTGGAAACAATATTGTCAACCTAAAAGCATCAAAATGTTGCTTTTGGTAAAAGAACTTATTTGTAAAATTTGGATTTTAAAATCATCCTAAACAGGCACTATATTTCTTTCTTCGCTAAAAACTGACTAATTATTCATGGTTATCTTCATCTTGACATGTTGTAGGGCGCAAAAAGGATAGTTGCAGAGTGGCCAGAACTTGACTTGGAAGCAAGAAGTTTCACAGCTAAAATCTTAGGTGAAGATATATCCCCTCTAGAGCAGTCTATTCAACCACTTGCTAAAACATCAGATCAACCAACAGAGGACATCGAATCAAAGGCAGAGCTATGATGATATATATTGCAACATTTCCCTACACTACAGATTTAGAGAATATAACTATGCACACATTAGATCTGTTATTAATACAAAATTGGAAAATCATTTTTGGTCATGAAAGCGATATCGCATTGTGGCAGTAGGACATTATATTTGCCAGAGGTAAGATTTGAGGAGTTACATAGAATTTCTGAGGCTTTAACTAGTACACGATTAGTCAATCTGTACAATTTTGTTATGTTTGAATTTCTTTCACTCATTTGCTTGTTTCGTAGTTCATATATACAATGTTAGTTTTTTACGCCGTTTCATATCCTCAAATGTATGAAACTGTATGGGTTTTTGTTATCACACACAAGTCTAGTGGCCTACGGCAGTGCTGGGAGCTAATAATAGATGTCATGATAAAATGGTCATTTAGTAGAAGAAATTACATATTTATGACTAAAATAATTGTAGTTTAAAAAAAGATACGTCTTAGGTAACTTAATAGTAGTGATAATAGTAGTAATTTAGTTATAACAACTTATGTTCAATCTGTACACGTGAGTTACTGTGACATTATGTTCATGGTAACTTAAGTCATATGGAGTAATTATTTATAAATTTGTTTTATTTCACTAATACTCTGGAAAAAAACCTCCACTCACTGACTCACCTAGTTTTTCTATAAAATAATCTTTTTCTTAAAAAAGAGTTTACTTATACATTACTTAAATAAAAGTGATGGACAAAAATATGATATAAGTTATTATAAGTAATTAAGTATATCATTCATTGCAATGTAAATTTAAACACCATCATAATTACTAAAGTTACTATTATAAGTACTCAAGTATAGAGGTGATCTCTCTTAATCATTAGATCTCTCTTAATTTATTTTACAAGTAATGATAATTCTAGCGGCCGTTTTAGGTTACAAAAGATATCAGTTAAATTATTCAAACACAAATTAAATGGCTTTCATGCAATTGAACCAACAAGAATCTAGCCATACATCATGATTAACCCCTTCATCAACCCCAAATCCCTAATTAAACTACTCACAATTCATAATTAAAGAAGCAACAGAATTGGGATGAATTTAAATATTTGTCATTAATTAAAAAGACGAACTTACAAATAATCTCAGGGTCTTGGAGTAAACAATAGTAAAAACGCAAGTAAATTCGTTCCTAGGCCTCTCCGTAATGTTCGTAACCCTTAAACAAGAGAAGAGAGGCCTTATTTATAGAAAACGGATGAGTTTGGGTTGAATTAGGACTAAAACGGGGTCAGGCAAGGGATGCCCAGGTGCTAGGCACGACATTACCTGCGGAGCCAAGCCGAAATCCGCGTTTCGGGTCTAGGCACGGCGTGCCTGGCAATTCCAGCGACCAGGTACATCGTAACACTACAGGTACGGCGTGCCTCCCTGGGCACGACCGTGTCTTCCCTTCCGAATTTGGAGATACTTCCTTCATTAAAGTTATAGATAATGAAATCCTCTATCCACCACAACTTGCCGAATGTGATTTGAATCATCCAATCAAAAGATATGAATAAAATGGTGGAAGGTCTCATTCTGAAATCGCAACAGGGATCATCTGACTTCATCGTCTGTTTTCACCTTCTTCCTCTCATATTCTCGAAATTGTGTCTTCATATGATTTGTAGAACTTGAAGTTGTGTTTCATATGGAATTTGAATCGTGTAGATTGGATGTTTCTACAAAGAGATATGCTTGAACGATAGACATAAGGTCATCCTGGTCGTCGTTTTCAAGCTCTATTCGTCTTCTTTTGATCGCGTAGCCAATCCTAGAGCTCTTTTGTTATCAAATCTTCATCGTAAACCTCCCGGTGACTTCCAAAGCTCTCAAATCACTCTCGAATGCTTCTCAACTCATCCCGATTTCTCCTCAAACGCCGGCGCTGGGCTCAAATTCCCTGACTTTGACTCCAAATGACACAAAAATCGAACCAACGCCTGGTAAACATAACTTGAGCTAAAACTGAGACTTGCAACACCTTAAACCTCGGAAAACCATCAAAATCCGACCCCAACACGCATCAAATGCGTATTGTAATACGAACTTATCAACTATAAAAGCTTGACACTGTTAAAGGCCTTGAGTCCATATCTATTAATGAGCTCCAACATGTCAAGCCTAAAACTTGATGAATCGTGTGCCATTCTAACTCACATAGGTAGGCATTTTAAAACCGTGTTTTGCAATCAAACACTTAATCAAAAGATCTATTAAAGCATAGTCAACCTCTTTACACATTGCAGACTCAAGCACTTACCTCTGCATGGTTCTTATTCGATCAAAATTGCTTCAATCATGGAGTGATTTAGTCATGGTTATTGAACTCAAGATCTAGCATTGTACTTGTAACGCCCCAAAATATGGTCTAATAGTTAAAACACATATGAATAATTTTTTTTAGATATTATTACCCTATCAAATTAAAAATCATTTCCTACTTCGTATAAATTATGAAGTATAATTTTATTAAGAGCAGTAATAATAAAATAAAAGTACAATAGTACGTACTCTATAACACTATTCTAAGACATTTAAACTACACTAGAAAGAAACAATACGTGTCTCAATTATGAAATGAAGTTTCGTATTATCTAAATAGGAATTTGGACAATTCTAAAATAAATTATAATAATCAAATATCTTCAATTAATGAGGAATGGGCAGCCACCTAAGGTCAATTCATGTACTCCATAATAAATTTTACACGTTCAATAATAAGCCAACTAGCCTCATCAATCTTGAAGGAATAGTTGCTCAATATTCTGTCCTCTAATAATTTAATCTACTACGTCCTATATGAATTAACATTGCTAATTCACACTATATATAAATAGCTCTCTATAGTCCCAAAACTTCAATACCATGCGGCCAGACAAAAATAGTTCTAAGAATACGTATTACTATATACTATTATATACCTATTAGGAAAGATTTGAACAAGTATAAGAGGTAGAAACGAACTGCAGAAAATACTTGTGGGCTCAATCTCATTACATTTCTTGTATAAAGGTCAGTACGTTTCCGCCCTGATTGATCTAAAAGTGTACTTCAAATTCCATCCCCGTTTCATGTTAAGTTATGGGGATGATGAATATCATATAGCCTTAGAAGTATTATGTATGCTCTAAATATGTGTTCTTCAATTTATGATGATGATTGATTTATAGACCATTTTATTTATCTGATTGTAGTTGCATTTTAAATCAATATGACTATCTCCTGTAAATTAAGTTTAGCCATGAAATTAAAAGGCAAAAATAAACTAAAAATTAATGATTAGATTAATATGGCATATAATAAGTATATGGAAGTAAAATTGAGCGATAGATATATTTTACATAAATAGTACTATACCTTACGATAGATAAGTGTGTATGTATATATGGCTTGTTAGTCGAATTGTTAGTTAATTAATATGAATATGAATTTATGTATTCCTGAGTTAAATTTGTGCACAAACATATATGTAAAACTGCCATAGTGACATGCGTGGGATATAGCAGAGGCCAAGCTTAGTTGAAAAATAAGAAATCGTAAAATGAATTAGTAACCTGGCTAAGTTTAATATATGTATGTCATCGTGAGATATTTTTAAATTAATATCACAAGTAATTTCATCTTATTCAAGTAGTATACCCATCACACACTGATAAACTCCTAATTCGTATAAGTTGAGATTTAAGAAAATATATAATAATATATAAATAACTATTTCTAAAAGTAAGATAATTATCATTGAAGACATGCATTCCTAGGCTCCTAGCCATATACGTATGTATACATAGTAGAATATGTAGGTGGGGGCATCATGAATTTACATGTGGCAGTCTAGATAATTACATACATACACATGTCATCTTATTTACATAAACATTTATAGGCTTTTAATAATTCATATTGTATTTAAGTTGAAGGTTGCAACATGTAATAAAGATTTTATATATTAATATACATTTATATATGATAGGTTTTATGTACTAAATCAAAATAGATAATTATATTATTTATATAATCGGATATCAAAATAACTAAAAGTTAAGGTACATATAATTACTAATATAAGGTACGTGTGATTTATGTACATGAGCTTCTAGCTTGGTCATTAATGAATGTATATATTAAAGTAAGTTGTTATTTAATAATTAAGTTACTTTTTGAAATATTATTTTACTTTGAATCATTTTCTTTACGAATTAACATCCTTTTAAAATTTAAGATAAAAGATAAGCACTATTAGAGTAACGCCTTGCTCTTGATTCGGCACTTAGACTCGAATACTCCTGATCTGTCTGTTTAGTGTACTACGTACACTCCTGAAATTCTGTCTTAGAGGAATTAGTGTTCTCCTGTTTAGTGTACTATGTACACTCCTGAAATCTTTTTAGAGCACTATTACTCTTCTGTTAAGGTTCGAGTCTCTTCGGTGATCTCGTCCTTTCTGTTCAGCTAGCTTCTGTTAGGGATTGGTACGTGTAGCTCCGGCGATTACGTTTCCATATCCTTTCTGGGTAATGTGGGTATGGACTTTATGTCCGTATTCCTTACCGTTAGTATTCCTCTGTCTAGGTCCAGTTTCTTGAGCACAAGGCTTAAATGATTTTTTTTTAATAATATACATCCGAATAAGAATTATTTGATAATTATGACATCTGAATATGCTTCTGATCTGTATATGAATATTTTGATTCTCATGACAGTTATTCGGCTCACTCAGGTATGTCTTATGTTTGTTTGACTAGATGCTAATTATGTTATGTTGCTATATGTGATTATTATTGTTATGATTATTGTTATCAGTATTTGTACCGTACCACTCAGCACATTGCTGAGCGGGTAGTTGTTTGTTTTTCCTACCCGTAGGTTGAAGTACATTCAGCTAAGATAAGGATGCTGGGATGGAAGGAGGCATAGGATTCATGTGCATATCATGTGTATTGTTTATAAATAAACAAATTAGAAGCAAGTTTGAGTTTAAACTTATGTTATCATTTTCGTTTTGTAAACGCTTCCGCATATCATAATAATATTTTGTGCTGTATAATATTAAGTGATTTATGGCGACTTGATATTTTAGGTATCAAAAAAATAAGTTGACGTTTGAATAGCGATGATTTATTTAAATACTAAATTTTGTTTTAAATAATTAAAAGTCTTTTGGTTAAATCTGTTTTGATTCCTACCACGTGACACACCGCTCGGATCGGCGGGGCCGGTTCGGGTAGGGTGTTACAGTACTAGATGCTGAGTTGGGCAATCTTTCAACTTGTGATTATATCCAAGGGCCTTACCTCATCCTATTTGTTGTTTTGTACGCAATGTCCTTTGCA